CATGTTTAAACCCCAAAGAATCTAGATTAAAATAAAGAATTTAGCAAGGTTGAGGGATACAAAAACATTAATATACAAACATTGAATGTAATTATTCTGTAACCAGCAATCTCACTCCTAATTATTATAACCCTAGACAAATCAGCAACAAACAAAAAACATCATTGTAATAAATTATTTACTATAGTAAGAAAGATACAAAGTAGTAAAGAATAAATCTAATAAGGAGAAAATTATACCTGAAGACATTAAAGATGATCTAATTAGATACCATGCTCATGGCTTGGAAAAGTTAGATCTACTTAACTGACTGCCATAGAGTTGATTCCAACTCATAGTGACCCCCATAGGGTTTCCAAGTCTGTCAATCTTTATGGAAGGAGACTGCCATATCTTTCTTCTGCGGACCAGCTGGTGGGTTTGAACCTCTGACCTTTTGGTTAGCAGCCCAATGCCTTAATACAGTGCTAACAGAGCTCCTTATAAATGACATAGTAAAAATGTTAATTCTCTCCAAAATGATCTTCATTTCACTTTATTATTATTATTATTATTTAAATTGTGATTTGGGTGAAAGTTTACAGAGCAAAGTGGTTTTCCATTCAGTAATTCATACACATTTTGTTTTGTGACACTGCTTGCAACCCCGGCCCTCTTCCCACTTCCTCCCTGTGTTTACCATTCCCCTTCATCCTTCTGTCCCTTGCCTTCTAGCCTTCTGAGCTTCATCCCAGGGCAAATGCTGTCCTTTGATCTCTTATGGTTGATTGTTCCAATGAGTGCATACCTTCCTGGTATTACTGTTTATCTTACAGGCCTGTCTATGATTTGGGTGAAAGCTGAGCCACATGGGTCCAAAATAATCTTTGAATTGAACACAATTTTAGGAAAAAATTCCAACAGGTTTTTGATAATCTTAAAAATGAATTTCAAAATGTTAATAAATGCTAAGGGCCAAGAATAGCCAAGATATTCTTGAATAAGAAAAACAAAGTGGTAGAACTTGGTCACCACACATAAATATATTACAAATCTATATGAACTAAGAGTTTAGTATATGCTCAGCAACAAACTGACTAACAGAATAGAGATGAGTAATAATAGCTGCACATAAACGGACACTTGATTATAACAGAGCTGGCATTCTAGGTAAGTGGAGAAAGAATGACTTTTCAATAACTTGCCCAAGACAAATGGCTATCTATACTAACAAAAAAATGAAACTGGACTTGGAGTTTATACCTAGCTCACTGCTTCAAAAGATCCTGAAAAATCTCTAGTATTTTTAGAAGTCAACATAGGATAATATCTTTGAGAACTTGTAACAAATTATTTCTTAAATAGGTCCAAAAATGCATGGATCACACAGGAAGAAAAATAATTATATTTTGCTTACATTAAAATGAAGAACTTTTATTCGTTAAAAAAACATCATAAATAAAATAAAAAGATGAGTCACAAAGTGAAGAAAATATTTGCAGTATACATTACTGACAGAGGGCTGGTATCCCAAATTTATAAAGCATAGTGGCTAAAGCACTTGACTGCTAACCAGAAGGCTGGCGGTTCAAACCCACCAGCCACTCCTCGGAAGGAAGGTTGGGCAATCCTACTTCCGTAGTGATACTGCCTCGGAAACCCAAGGAGGGGTCGCTATGAGTCAGGGCCGACTTGACGGCACATAACAACAACAACAACAACAACAACAACATATCAACCAGAAAAAAACACATGATCCAAAAGAAATATTAATAAACAACATGAAGAAAAACAGCATTCCATAGAACAGTCAGGAACTAATATTAAGCAAAAAGCAAGTCCCACGAGAACACATATACTATAATTCCATTTGTATGAAGTTCACAAACAAGATACTGCTTAGGGATATAGGCCTATGTGGGAGAAATGGAGAGCGGGCTCCTGAGGTGCAGGTACTGGGCAGTCTGTCTGGCCAAGGCTAGCAGGGCAGGGCATAGAAGGGCAAATGAAGGACAGCAGTAAACGGGAAGCTGCCTAACAAGAAACTTCACGACAGGAGAAGCCACTAACTGGGGAAGCGAAAAGGTTCCAGAGCTGGAAGCATTTCAAGTGAAAGAAGACTCATTCTTCTCTTCCATGTAGTGCAGTGAAACATGTCTGGATTGGAAACCACAAGACCTGAACTCCCTCTAGATGTTGTCATTAACTAGGCTATAATCTCAGGCATGTTTTCAATGTTTATGGGGCTCATGATAAAAAGATCAATCAAGGAACTTTCAAGATACATGCCCTCAGGGGACAGGAATAGAAAAATTTAAAGCTTATCACAATCTCAACTAGAGGCAGGTTTACAAAGGCACTAATGACACGTAAGCATCAAGACCCCTTTCTTGACCAGGCCCCTTCCAAAGCTCTGAGAAGAGAGAGTCCCCAAACTGTATAAACTTCAAGCCCCACAAAATCCAGATGAGCCCCTGTCCTCAACTGCAGAGTTAACAGACAGAGGAGGACTCCTCTGTAACTACAGAGGAGGGCTCCTTTATAACTTTTCTGCTTCTATAGAATTTTCCTGCCTCAGAAAAACCATCTTCCAATTCAAACTCAATTTCTCTCAGGAACTAAGAAAGTTTGAAATCTAAGCTCCCAGAAGAGTGACTACCAAGGCTCTTAAAGTCCCTGATTGTACCCTTAATTCTTGTTCAGATCTCAGGACACATGGAATTTTGCTAGATAACTTAATACAATGCAAGATTATTTTTCCAACATTTACCACCAGACAGAATATTTTCAACAAGAAGAATAAATTATCCAGAAAGAGGATTTGTTTAGTAGAGGTTGAGGTTGCTATGAAGGTACAAATTAATTTTGGCAAACATCCTCACTAAATATTATAATTGGCTCCACTATTCCAAAGCACAACCAACTTTGTGTTGTGACTAAAACCTGCTTTTAAAACACTATGCAATCTTGCCCCAAGACTAGCAGCATTGTTTCACGTCTCTGCCTTCAGCAAATGTTCCTACCTCTCTAGTCTCTGCATTAGGACCTGGTAAGGCAGAAATACAGGAGCTCTACTTCAGGCCTGATAACAATTCTATCACCCCCCCAGCATTATGTGGATTGAAAACCAAAATTCCCTGTGCTTTGTCTTCTATGTGATTGGAAGAGCCAAGTTGAACCAGTGATCTGAGAACAGGGAGAGGAATTTGCCACCAGACAGAATATTTTCAACAAGAAGAACAAATTATCCAGAAAAGATTTGTTTAGTAGAGGTTGAGGAATTTACGGAGTAGGTCAGAATTCCCACCTCCATAAGGTGGCTATATCCAACAGGGGAAATATAGAGCTCATAAGAAAATGTCATTTTGAGGGAACGAAAATGGAACTTGGAGTGTATCCCTGTGAAATCCACACAAGACCCACAAGGTTCATGAGAATTTTCCACCAGAAAAACATTGCCACTGTAGAATGAAAGAGAGCTCAAAATGAAAGGAACTGGTGGCCCCTTAACCCCCATCAAATTCTATTGGCAAAAAGCAGGCTGATAAAACTACTCGGATGCAGACATGTGCTACTTTCCGTGAAAAAAGGATGATGACAGAGTATAGCCACAAGCCCAGAGGCCACAGCCACAAGTGGAAAACCAAGAGCTCAGAGGGCAAAACCAAGAACCCAGTGGTGAGAGCTGAGGGCCAGGGATGATTATTCCCAGGTCTTGAAATCTAATTAAGAAACTCCAGCTGGAGTTTGCCCAGTGGAATTTCAAAGCTGCTTTGACTGATGACTCCTTTTTACTTTCCATTTTCCTCTTTTTTAACCTGAATGTTTGTAATTGTTATCTTATGCCAGTCCCACCTTGTATGTTTGGAGGGCTGGGAGCAGACAACTCATCAACTTTAGTTTTACAGGTCCACAGAGGGAGAGGGATTGTACTCAGCGCTGCACTGCTTAATGGATGACACTCAGGAGCCTTATCCACATTTTATTTAAAAGATGTAGATGATGACATTTTGGATTTCTGAGCTGATGAGATCTAGGATGTTGGACTGATGTTATCTGTAATGGGATAAGACCCAAGGTAGAAGGTGATTGTATATTTTTGCATGTGGGAAGGATGTGAATCATGGGGGCCAGAGGACAGACTATGGTAGGCAGAAATTTAAGATGGTCCCCTTAACCATCATCCCCTGGTGTCATACCTGTGATCATGTTACATTATGGCAAAAGAGAGATTATCTGTGTAGGCGTACTCTAATCACATGAGGCCTCTATAAGCAACAAGTTTTTTTTCTGGCTGGTAGCACAAGAGGAGTCAGAGAGATTCAGAGGGAACAAATGGGAGGGAATGGACACAAGGGAGGTTTTCCTTTGCTGAGATTCAGGGGGTCTCTGGGCAAAGAGCTCTAAGAAGAGGAACCGAGAGAGCTGCCAATGCAGCAAGAAAATGGGGACCCCAGTCCATCAACCACAAGGAACTGAATTCTGCCAACACTTGGATGCATTTGGAAGCAGATCCTTCCCCAGAGCCCCCAGATAAGAGCCCCATCTGGCTGATACCTTGACCTCAACCTTGTGAGACCCTGAGCAGAGAATATAGAGAATACAGACAAGTCCTCCTGGAGTTCTGACTTTATGATCTGTGAGATCCTAAGTGGGTGTTGTTTTAAGTTGCTATATTTGTTATAATTTGTCTCACAGCAACAGAAAACCAATTCAGAGTTTTGTTTGGGTCCCTATATTCGGTCTTGGGACCTGCTGCTATGCTACTCTTGCTTATTCTGAGAGCAATCTCTGTGCAGCATCAGAAGGACCAGGTGCAGCACTGAGGTTAACTCTTCCTAGCACAAGTTTCTTCATCTGCAAAGTGGGTGGATCAAAGGAGGAAAGCTCTTAAGAATCTATTTCCTCACCAACAAGCCTTTTCAAATATCAGATGCATTATTAACCAAAGCACCCATACTGATATCTGCAAGAAGGTGGACCCAGACACAGTCAAGAACAGAGAAGTCTGAGCCGCTCACCTTCCTCAGGCCATAACTGTGGATTGCTGGAATAAAGATATGCTCCTTCTCCTCCTGTTAGAAAAGTGCCCAGGAAAGACTCGTCTTCCTTTTTTGAAAAAACAAAACAAAAAGAGCAGGTGATTTTTGGCAGAAACATTCACAGAATCAAAATCCTTGCTCAATTTTGTCTGTCTACAAAAGCTGTTGAATCAGACTCAGATACAGTCTACTTCTTCCATGGTCTCTGGTGCTGCCTGGCTGTTTAGCACATTCCTGGCATCTCTGACCTGTGCTGGGAAAGGATGCTAAGTTCTCTAAGAGTCTATGCACTGAAGCCTGCAGTGCTTGTCCACGCTCTCGTGGGTTCACGTCCTCTGACTGAAAACCAGAGGCTGTTTTTCCTTGGCCTCAAGCCTTGACTTCTTACCACTACCCACCTAGGCCACTCTGGGATTTGCTGTTAAGTAGTACTGGGTGATTTAAAAAACAAAACAAAACAAAAACACCAAAAGGCCTAAATGGCAAAAAGAATCCCTCTAATTGTGCCTCCCATAAATGGTTATTTCTACAACTTTGCTGGGAATGGAAAGAGTGCAAATAGGAACTGAAGACAAATGTACAAATTAGTAGTAAGATGAAATAGTCTGAAATTTTTTTCTAGATCATTTACATTTGATGCTAACATTGAGAATAAGAAGGATGCTTACCTTCACTGCTTGCTGGGTTTTCTCAGACAGTTTTACTTCATTATCTTCTACCTGTGTCCAAAAGGAATGCAGAATTTCAGTTTACTACGTTCAAGGCAAAATCCTGCTGCATCTCTCCCTGTGTTCAAATATTTCCAGGAGACCGATGGGGCAGCCTCTCTGCCAAGTCCTGCACCCTTAAGCCCTGGCATGGCTGGCAGAACTGGCTGCTGGTCATCAAGGATCAGGGTCCAAGACCATGGTGGGCTCTCTCATTGGGGCCTGCAGTCCAGCTAAACAGGCCTGTGATATTTGAAAAGGATGTGTCAGCCTACACTTAACATATCACCTCAGAGAAATACAACTATTTTTAGGGATGAAGGAAAGAGAATACATAAATACTTAAGTCTTTTCAGAGAGCGTTCTATTACATGTTACACATGTTCATGTCAGAGGATGACTCTTATTCTTCCTGATCCGTATCAGAAACAACATAAACACAAACAGATTCTAAAATAAGTACTTAGACCATTCCAGACCCACTGCTATCATGCTTTCTGTGTCCCAAAGCACCAGAGTTTCAGACCAAGTCCCACTGAGGAAGATGAGCCTTTTCCTTATGTAGACACTGCTGTAAAAACGCTGCAGCAACCACTGTGACCAGAGAAGGGAGCCACATGCTTCACGTCTCACTATCTGTGTGACCTTGGACAAGCTGTCAACTTCTAAGCCTCAGTCTCCTCATCTGTAAAATGAGAGTGTTAATTTCCTCCTTTCACAATTTAACAGGGACGCAGGTAACTTAACTCCTTTCTTTCAAACTCTTTCCAAGATTATGAGAAAGTTAAAGAAATTAGTTTGTATAAAGAGAAAATTTAGAAACTTCCATTCCTGAACAATAGCTAGTTCAGGATGTGGTATCCCACCAGGTACCCAATGGAGAGGCTCGTCCTTAAATGCCCTGGATTTCTCCACATTTTAATGCCACTTCTATCAGATGAATGACACTAACCAGCCAGGAGCAGAATCTGGGTATTGCCGCAGTTAGGATTATGAAGCTGGTTTCCGTGGTAAGAGCGCCATCTGCAGGAAGACCACACACATGCCAGTTACTCCCCACCACTGGAGTCCACCTGCAGGCCCAGATGACTACTAAGGTCCTTTGCTTTCTCTTATTAGTACAAGGGATCTGATCCCTTCAAACCTGAAAATTTCCTTATCTGGAGGTAGGGAGAGTGATGGGAGGATGAAGAAAGGTTTGCCCATGTGATGAATTTTATTATTATTTTTACAACAAACAGAAATACATATTTGAATGAACAGTCCTGGGAATTAGTTCTTTTTTAGTTTCACTTTTAATTTTTTTCAAAGAAGTACACATATACACATTAAAACTCAAAGAGTATCATCATGGTCATTCTACCAGCACGGAGTATCATCATTCTTTAGTTTTTTTTTTGCCAACATAAAACAAATAAAAAAACCACAACTCATTGCCATCCAGTCAATTTCGATTCACAGTGACCCTTCCTTGGGTTTCTGAGGTGGTATCACTACAGAAGTAGATTGTCTAATCTTCTAATCATTGGTTCAAAGTGCTGCTGCTTAACTACTGTTGTTGTTGTTGTTGTCTGCCGTCGAGTCGGCCCTGACTCATAGCGACCCCTCCTTGGGTTTCCGAGGCAGTATCACTACGGAAGTAGGATTGCCCAACCTTCCTTCCGAGGAGTGGCTGGTGGGTTTGAACTGCCAGCCTTCTGGTGAGCAGGCAAGTGTCTTAGCCACTATGCTACCAGAGCTCCCGCTTAACTACTAGTAAGGTTATATACTAGTAAATATATAAAAATATATTTTACTATTGTAGCTTGTGTTTTTCTGATTACTTATTAAGAGCACTTCATAAATTAGGATATATATGCTTTATCATGAATGTTCTAATATTTTTATCCCTTTATTACTGGTTTTTGACTTAGTTTATGGTTTGTTTTACCCCATTTCTATACCTACCCTCCAAAACAAGTTTCAAGTTTTGCTTTCCAAAGACCATACACACTTACCCTTTTCTTTAACCAAGATATGAGATGTCAAAAATGATTCGGAAAATACCACAGATCCCAAGCATCCTCTTCCTCCCAGCAAGTCAGGAATGTCATAGACGGTCATAGAAGCCTGTATCATGAGAAACCAGAGTCAGACTAGTTGCCAGCCCTAAGCCTCCAGGAAGAGACCTCTAAAAAACAGATCATCCAATACTGCTTTAAGGCATACTGTGAAAGAATACTGGAGAGAAACGAATAGGGAAGACTTCAAGGAGGAGGTTGAACTTCGTCTCTGCTTGGAAGAGGGAACAGGATTTGGAAAGAAAGCACCGACTTCCCACCTCTTCTTTCCTATTTCATTTGCTGCTGCTGAATGCAATATTTAACTTAATAACATGACTCTACTGACTTCCTTAAGTATTTCACTTACTATTGAGCAAGGTACCTTCCAAAACACTGCACAAGAGAATCTAAAGAAGAAAATCAGGGAGTTTGAAGTCTAGCAAAGGGATACAATGTTACTGTCCAAATACTAGTAAGAATTTCCCAGCATCTTGATGTCACTAAAAAGACTCAATTGGTTCTAAAAGAACATCAACACAAAATGCTGACAGACACAGGGAGCACACCTATTATAAAAATGTAAATTATAACCAAAGAAGTCACCTTTGCTGTACTGTACTCTGTAGATGAGATGACACTACTCATGGGAACTTTGAGCTGATTTTCCACTGGTAATGGTGGTGGGGATTCATTTGTACTGAGCTATCCACACTTGCCCACCAGTTCCCCATAATCAAAAGCTCACTAGAATTAAGGCTCATGCAGTGGCCACAGAACAGACTCAAGGTATAACTTGTGGCCACATATATTACAACCAGAACCTTGGCTAGATATTCACTATCCTCTCATGCAGTGCTTGTCAACTTTCTTCATGCCAGGAGCCAGGATGGACTGGGGTAAATGGAGGCCTTGGCTTGTGGCTGGGAGCAACCGGCCTGGAAACTGATATCCCTACGCCATGGCGGCCCACTCTTGAGGGCTGAGAAGATCAGTAAACCACTTCCTTGGCCTATCAGCATGTGTTCAGCACACAGGAAGTTCTGCTCTGACAATCTCATTTAGCTGGAGAGTAGGCCCTTGTTGAGGGCATCAGTGAAGGCCCTGGAACACAGACAAACACTGAAAACTTGCTAGTCTGTGTCAAGGTGGCTTTGTTCCATCCTCACCTCACATCCATATGATATGTGAGCAATCTCAGACACCTGGAGACATCTTCATAAATTCAGAAAGAGTTAAGACTTGGTTAAGATTTTGGGTCCTACAGCAGCCTAAGTATGGGAGTGTGACTGTGGTTGGGCCTTGCACAGATGCCTAAGCACCTTCAGAAAGCAGAGTTTTCTCAGGTAAGGGCTGGGTTGCTCAAGACTCTCCACTCAACCATCCACCTACTGCCTCACTCCCTGTAAATACCACTCTATAGGCTGTACCCAGCCTCCAACCTGTAACAATTCTGCTTACCGTCTTCACAAAGTATAAGGTATCTTCACTGTCCAGACGTACAATTCTAGAAGATGAAAAAGATGGGAGATACCTTAAAGAGTTATTAATTGCACTGAACTTTATGAGATATTCTCTTTCACCTTGTTAAGCCACAAACTCAATTTCTCAGCGATTTTCAAAATACTGGGTTGCACCTACACTGAATTACTATGTAGGCTACTTGGAGTGAATTACGTCCAACCCCCCACCCCTCAACCTTCAGTAGGAAGTTCTCAGGTTAGAGGGTCTCAGGTGAGCACAGACAGGACCAGACCCAAACTGAAGCCTGGAGGGATGCCACTGCCAGGTGTGTAACCATGAGAACATCCATGCCAGCAGTTATAAGGCAGCCTCTCTTCTCTTTCTGCTTCTAAAAACTTGCCCCAAATGAGGACAAACCACAGCCATATACTGACCTTCCCTGATTATTCACAGCATGTATATGAAAAGCCATCTTGGAGCTGTAGAACAAAAACAAAATAAAAATAAAGTCAGTCTGCTCTTGCTCACTATTAGGTTGGTATCTTCCCCAGAAACCTGCTTCTGCAGCAAACCTGCTCTGGATCCTCACAGCCACCCAGCAAGGGTTGTGTCATCCCTGCCTTATGCACATGTACTTTAAGAGACATGAGGCACTTTTCCCAGGGTCTTGCACCACTGGCAGGTGTGGGGCCAGTACATGACTCCAGTCACGGCCCCGCCTTTGTGCAAATTCTCAGGGCTGTGCTGCCTTGCAGACCAGAGCAGGAGGGAATGTGTGATAGGACTGATGCTTGCTGTGGATTCACCACCTTCGGGTCAAGCTTCCATCCCTGCCTTGAGCCCAGGGAGAGGCCATGTCTCTGCCGTTTACAGTCAACTGCTGTGGGGTGAGAGGCCTGGTCCAGACTCCAGAGTGAGCATACTGAGGAGGAACAAGACAACCCTTCTGGCTTTAACATTTCTTGTGACAGAAAGTTTCTAAATCATGCAAGTTTCATTTCATGCCTTAAAGGAACTTGTCAGTTGCACACGAACTTCTGTGTAAATTCATGACTACTTTCTTCTTCCGCCCTCAGGAACAGATCTGCTAATGTGACAGAGTTTAAGGGTACTCAGTCCACTCTTAGGAGCTCTGGTAGCATAGTGCCTAAGGCACCTGACTGCTCACCAGAAGGCTGGCGATTCAAACCCACCAGCCACTCCTCGGAAGGAAGGTTGGGCAATCCTACTTCCGTAGTGATACTGCCTCGGAAACCCAAAGAGGGGTCGCTATGAGTCGGGGCCGACTTGACGGCAAACAACAACAACAACAACAGTCCACTCTTATGGACAGAAGAGGGTGGGGCTCTAGGTAGGTACTAGCCCTGAGACTCTCCTGTCATTGCCTGGTGCTTTTCTCCTTGTTCCTTCCTCCAACTAGGGAGGTACACCCACACCAGGGAGGACCCTGGACTGAGAATAAGCTTGCCACAGAAGGTTGAGTGGGCCTAGGCAAAGCTCCAAGGAATGGGATGACTATGTCAGCCATGTCTATAGCAACAGAGAAGAACCCTGTTACACCAGTTAACCTTTACATGGGAGGCACTGAACTCCTAGTCACTCAAGGATATAAGGAGATGAAAAAACAGATGCACAGAGAACTCCCTGACTTGCCTAAGGTCCCACAGATGGAAAGCAGAGGCCCTTTCTCAAACCCAGGTCTTCCAGAAATAGATAATGCAGGCCTTTAGGGAACAAGCTTCCCCTATCACTCCCCTCTCCTGGCCAGAGATAAGACCTAGGGAAAGGCAGTCTAAAGTAAGCCCTAATCCTTGTACCAAAAGGGCTGTCAGAGGTTATCATGGAGGAGACCAATGCAACTAAGGAATAATGCAAAGGGCATGGGAACTTCTTGGAACAGCCCATGGCAGGGCTGGGAGCCCTTTGGGATTCTGGCTCTTTATTACATTCCTAAAGTGGTAGCAATAGAACTCTTCATATTAGATCAATTGACTGACATCTTTCCAAATGTTCCTTGTCACTATGCAAGGCTGTTGATGTAAGCAAATGAGGGGCGTGGAGGTGAGGTAACACAAGGTATATTCCAGAAGTTTTCTTAAAAAACAACTCTCCAATATGGCTATCTTTTGCCTCCTTTGCATAAAAGTGCACAAAGTGGTCTTCACGTAGGGCAGTGGGTGAAGTGGATTGGGTTTGTGAAGGTTTAGCTACAGTAGGAGACCATACAGAGACCCACTGTGATGTGCTGCTGGGAGATGTGTCATCTTGGGAGGACTGCCAGGAAGCCAAAGTCTCAGACTGTCTAGACCCTGAGATGAGTTCAGAGTTCCTGTGATGGGAGAGGCAGAGAGGTCCAAGGCAAGTGCCTTCTAAGCACGACTATCTTCATGTGCCCAGGCCTCTCACCACTCACATCCTCAGCTTCACCCTTCTAATCTCTGAAACCATAGGTCTCCTGTGGTTCTGGTATTAATTTGTCTCATATCCAGCCTCAGGTCGTGTGTGGGACTTTTTCCTCATATAGTTCTTCTGTTTTTGGCTCTTTGGTTTCTTAAAGAAAGCCCTGGTCATTAATCATCTGCCTTCACAAAGCCTATTAATTTACTGCAATATTTCCCAAAGAGATTATAAAGGGAGAATACAAAACATAAGAAAGAAAAGTTGTTGTTGCTGTTTTAAATAAACATTTAAAAAGTGCCTTATAGAAAATATCAGCCATTGCCTACCGTAGGACTGCCTTAAATTGCATCAGCTCATAGGAATCTAATCCAGATCCCAGTGTTTGCTCTGCTACCTCCTTGGCCTGTAAAAGCAGTAACACAAACAGAGGCAATTAGCTTTCACAGCAAGAAAAAGTATGCACATCATTCTTAGGAGAGAGAGCCCTTCTAACATTTGGCTAGGAGAACACTGTGCTCCTCCCCTCTACGTGACTACTTTGTACACATCAAAAGACTAAAATGAAAATATACTGTTAAAGGAAACAGGTGTCTGCTTTCTTCAGGCTGGGTTCACAGGAAAAATACTTCATTCAGGCAGGTGGGCACTGGAACTTGATCCACCTGAGAGTTGTAACCAGCTGGGTTGGTTCCAATGGATCCCCGAGGCATCGTCCGTCAGAATGTGAGGTCTGGAAAAGTGCTCTTGGTGATCTTAGTACATGTTTTATCCTCTCCTCTCCCCTGACCCTGGGAGAAACTGCTCAGAGTTTCTGCTAGATACTAAGAATATTCAAAGAACTATATTTACAAGAGATCAGTTAAAAAACAAAGGTGTGAGTACTGACACTGAAGGACATTTGTTGCACTGTATAAGCTTTCTGCCACACAGCAGCTAAACAGCGGAGAAGTCCCATGATGTCAGTCCCAGGGATTTGAGTTCAGTGAGGGGGGACAGTAAGGAGCTGGTGACTACGGCTACGGTCTCTCTGACATCTACATCATACAAAACCTTTCCAATGTCAAATGGCTTCCTTCAGGAAAGGTCCTATTGGTACTGGGAGGCACCAAGCTGACTCTTCTCATCTCCTTACTGGGTCAGATATAGGGTCCAACTCAGAGGGCAGGTTAACCCAGAACAGCAAGGGAGATAGCGGTCAGAGAATGAGAACACAAATGACTGTCTAGGAAAGGCAAGTCAGATTTTCTATTCTTTAGGCTTTGTGTTTTTTAAAACACTGACTTACAGGAAATCAAACGACACAACTCAAAGCAAACTTACCTAACTTAATTAAAGTTCACAGTAGAATAATCCACAGATCTTTATTTTTTAACTTTTAAAAGGCTGATTGAAACTATTCAACAGAACAATATGTTACAGAATGATCTTCCTCTAATACAACCAGAGGTCTGCAAACAAGTGCTGGTTAGTTGTCACTCATAAGACAACAGCACAGTCACAGGCGGGAAAAGCTTAGCACTCTAAAGGCATCCCTGCCTGGTGTCAGCCCTGTTGAGGCCTAATCTCACACAAAATCGAGTACCATAAGGTTCCCAGAGAATAAACAGATGGCTGGAAGTTTTATGTTAACATAACTACTAAGGAGAGAGAACCACGGTGTTTAAGTTACCTTTGTTAGACTGGAAGTTTTAGCATAGCATGCAATGGCAGCCAGAACAGCCTCAACAACTGCGGCATAAACCCGGGATAAGAGCCTACTTTAAAAACAAAAAATAAAGGTTAACTACAGCATTGCAGGGTTTCACCAAAGGCTGCATGCACATAAATGACATATTCCAGGGAACTGGGTTTTAAACAAAATGAAAAGGGTGTGAAAATGGAATAATTGATTTCAGACTCTTGTAAAAACCATGTGCTCCAACTGACTTATGCTATTGTCTTGTCAAACCATCTTAAGGACAGCCAGCCCCTCTGAGTTCTGCTGCAAAGACTAACTCTCCTTCTTACGGGAGTGCCCTGGCTGCTCCTGTGCAGAAGTGTCAAGACAGCCTTGCTGCTTCGACAGGGCAACCACACCATGCCTTTAGGACAGCTCCTCACCAGGCCTGCTGAAGTCTGGCTGCTCCTAGACCCCCAGAGGGCAGGAGAGATGAGCCAACTGAGGAGAGGCGGGGTTCCACTCAAATTCAATGTAAACAGCTGCAGACCACTCTCCAAGCAGTTTGCCTGATCTGAAGAACAGAGACTACTTCTGAGTGGATCTCTTACCTCCCTCCTACCTCAAACCCTGCTCTTTCTCTCTTGACTTCTCATTTCCAAAGTCATTATATGGGGCATTTTCTTTGCTAGAACTGGGACTGAGGATTGCCAGAAAGGTTCTCAGAAAACACAAGTCTGCTTTCCTTTAGGGCAGGGTTTTCAACCTTGGCATTTTGGGCCCGGTAATTCCTTGGTGTGGGGGTGCTGTCCTGTGCATTGTAGGATGTTCAGCAGCATCTTTGGCCTCCACCCACTAGAAGCTCGTAGCAGCCTCCTTCACAGCTGTGACAATCAAAAATGCCTTTAGACAGACATTGCTAAATGTCCCCTGGAGGGGATGCATGACAAAACTGCTTTGGGTTGGGGACCACTACTTTTGCAGGAGACCCAGGCTTACAGAGAGAGAGAGAGGGCTGGAAGGCAAGGGGAGGTACCTGACAGAGAACTAACAAAGCCTTACCTAACAATATGTTTATTATTATTATTATTATTTTTTCAATTTTTAATGTGATTTGGGTGAAAGTTTACTGAGAAAACTCATCTTTCATACATCAGTCTAACAATATGTCTATTTTTAAGTTAGAATCTTGTAATAGGTAAAGGACGGTGATAAGAGTTTGAAGGCTGGAAGGAAACACAGAAATGATCTGGCCCAATCCTCTCATCTTTAGATGAAGCAACTGACACCTATGGCGGCGGACTAAGCTGTCCAAGACCACAGCAAATTAATGGCTGGCTCAAACTCAGCTCTGCTCTTGGCCTGGTGCTTTCCCTATGTGCCACATCACATTGCCATCTTCTTCCACTTCATTCTTGGCCCCTGCACCACACCTCCACATTGGAGGTAAGAGATGTGAATTAGCAGTAAAATAAAAAGGGTAATAGAAAATACTTACACTAAAATGACAGCTCCAATGATCTACAACATATCCTGAAAATTAATGGCCTAGCCAGAGCAGAGGGGTATGCTCTGGTGGGAAGGGGCCAGGCAGGGACACTAACAATGAACTTGGGCACCTTCAGGTGCCAGAATCCGCTACACTTTTATACTAAGGGAGGCCAACCCCAAAGACATGTTAAGATAACTCCCCAGCTTGATTAAAACCTCCCTAAGAACCAACACTGGTCAGGCCTTCCTTCCCCTGCTTGGCCTTCTCCTACACAGACTCTCAGACAAGAGCTCATTCCACAAACCACCTGGCTGCCTATACATACAATGGTCTGGATGGGAGGTGTAAGGCCATGATGAGGGAAGGCCTGCTCTCTACCTGGAGAGTGTTGCTATTGTCTTTATTAGGACTCCACAAGGCCCAAGTTCCACCAGCCCTGGGATTTAGCAAGTCTCCTGATGTGGGCACTCTTCCATACCAGTCCCTGAAGCAGGGTACCAATGGGGCTCATCAGTGTGGCCCTAAAAGGCAAGTGAAGCCTTTTAGTCAGTTTTAATCAGTCTGTAAGGACTGATTAAACCTAACTTAAGCAGAGGGAAGGCAAAATGTCTAAGGTCCAGAATGAGGTTCTATGGAAGTGCTAAGCAAAGCTGGCAAGGGAAGCCAAGCAGGTACAAAGCACGACTGTATCCACCAATATGTAAGAAAATGGCTGACTTGCTGCTAAAGTGAAGAAAGCCCTCAAAAAAACTGTACACACTATGATTAAGCTACATAAACCTAAATGCATTAATAATAAAAGAACAACAAAGTACTAACAGGGGTAGTGCCAGAAAGGAGCAAATTATGCTGTTTTCTTCTTTTCTCTAGTTTTCATGTTTTCTGGAGTGTGATTATATTACTTGTATTATATTTTTTCCAATATAGCTTTGTGGGTCCTACCCCAGGAATTCTGGATTCAGTAGCTCTGGAATTGGGCCTGAGGAAGCAGCATTTTTTAAAAGCTCTCAGGTGATTCCTTATCACTGCTGGCCTTTGGAAGCACTGGTCTACATCCCACTGGTTTATAATGGGATATTTATTCCAAGTAGTAGTAACACTGCATAACATTTGTATTTCTGAAGGAGAATGCTGTTTGGAATTCAGTAGCTTCAGCATTGAGTTTGTTTCTTTGGTTTTCTGCTGTGTGGAGGGCACAGAAGTCAACAGTAGGCCCTTTCTAAGAGTGCACAGCCTAGATTCAGACCCCAGCTCTGTTCCCCAAGCCTAGGTGTCAAATCCAGAGAACATACTCTTCATGTAAGATGGGGTTTCACACAGATTCTCTCAATGAGTTTCAGGAGGTTTTATTTTTAGGAAGTCCCCAATAAAAAAATACACTACATAGAAAAACGTGAAGGAGACTTCCATCACTTATATGGATGGATGCTATAGGTAGGAAATTCTGAGGCGGGGAGCAGATGGCAAAGCTGGCAGGGTCCCGTGGCCTGGACTCTAAGCTGAGAGACAGGGGTTGCGGACCGCCTGGGAAGCTACACAGCTGTGTGCCTCATAAACCAGGTGCTGGTCTCAAAAGGGAGGAGACAAGACCCAGCAGGAACTTCTGGATAAACTCAACTTTATGAAAAAAAATAAAATAGAAATGAAGACTCACATTTGCTCAGTTTTCTTGGGCAGCTTGTCATCACCTGTGAAAGAGCACCATGTATTAAGAATGTGACAAGATCACAGGATATGCAAACATTTCACAAAGAAATGAAATTTCTCAATTTAATTACAAGGAAATGTCAAGAGCTGTATTTTCATTTAAGTTAAACAGAGTACAAACACAAACAACAGTGAAACTTAGCTACTCCCAGAATGCTCCTGGACCTTGACCCTTTAGTCTGACATGCTCCTCTTTCACCACCCATCCAGTATCACCACTCAACACCCAAGGACTACGGAATCTGAGGCTCTGGAATGTTTTTGCTTTTTAGGTTTTTAAAATAGGAGATAAAGTAAATAGGCCCAGTACTGCCTCTTTCTTCATTTATTTAATTATCTGACCCAAGTCATTCTTCTTTCCAGAGTTTCCTGGCTTATAAAAAACCCAGGAAAAATGTATGGTGATAAACTGTGTAGCAGTGCTGAGAGCCCCATTTTCTAGATGTTCTCCTCCACGTCTCTTTGAATATTCACAGCTCGCAGTAATCTTCGCAAGATGGGAACCCCAATCAGCTCAGCCTTTCTAGATGGCCCTTCTCCATTTTTCTTCACAAGAACAGTAAGGCTGGCACCTGGCTTAGTCTTTCAAATTCTCTTGCAGCCCATAACCTCCTGTGATCATGAACTAGGTCTCTTAAATCATCTTTGCCTTCCTTCTCACTGAGCACAGTATTTCATACATGGTTAGACTTGTTGTTGTTGTTGTTTATGTGCCGTTGAGTTGGACCCAACTCATAGTGACCCCTCCTTGGGTTTCCGAGGCAGTATCAATACGGAAGTAGATTGCCCCATCTTCCTTCCCAGGAGTGGTTGGTGGGTTTGAACTGCCAGCCTTCTGGTGAGCAGTCAAGTGCCTTAGGCACTATGCTACCAGAGCTTTTCCTCCTGAAATGCATCCTGTGAGAAATGGGTTAGACACACCAGCTGCCCAGCTGTACTAAGAGAGGGAGCAAGAGGCCTACAAACTGGGAATCATGAGCTTCTGAGTAAAACTGTTATCATGAATCAACTTCTAATTTATGGGAAAATCCATAATATGGGAGAAACAATGTATATGGACTCACCCAAGTAAGGAATGTGAGTAGCTCCAAAAAAGTATGTTCTTGAACAAGCGAGGGGTCCCTTTGGTGAGACACACTGTGCTACCTGGATGCCAGAAAAAGAAAAAAAAAAAAAAAAAAAAACGGAATTAGGTGTGTCTGGAGTGTGACTTAACTGCTATAGAAAGAATGTATACAGTTAATGAGAACCAATTTTAATTTACCAATAGCTAATTTATTATTTTTTAAATGCACGGGGGAAAAATCTATTCCCCCTTTTTGTGGGCGTATGTGTGTTTTAATGACTGGATACATTTTGTGGTTGCTGTTGGGTACTCATGCTAATGACTTTATAACCAAGATGGTAAAAAAGAGGAAACATTCTTAGGTTTAGAATTCCATTAATATTCAGTCCAGAGCTTGGGTGAAATGGCAGGTAGATATGATGGGCACATCTATGCTGGAAAGGACTAGGATAGCAGGATTCTCACCTCCATATGTATTTCATCTCTGTACATTAAGCCTCAAAGAACAAAAGGTAGTTTTTACTTTCTTAGTCTCCTCCCTGGCTTAGTTGTGTATTTAGATAGAGATGGGAATAGGTGTCATTCTCTCTTTGGAAAATCTAACACCTTGTCATTAGGGTTGCTAGGATAGCAGCTATAAAATAAAAAAATGTCACCACAAGAACAGAAAAGAAATCAGCAACATATATAAAATGTAGCTAAATGTGACACAAATACTCATTCTTTCTATTTTACTACATTCCTTAAGGAAGCCACATCAGAATATATGGCATTTTCCTGTGATATTGTGAAATCCAAGCTACAGATTTGAAATGAGGACTTATCCTGGCTAATCTACAATTCAGCGTAGTGTACATGAATCCATATTGCCATGACTCTGAATGAAAACTCACGTACATATTTCTAATGGTCAGTTAATATATGTATTTTCTCAATTAAAATATGTTCCTTGGATTTCCAAACTTTCCCTGTTTTTTTTTTTTTTTTTAAAAGTGTCATGTTTCAAACTCACTTGATCATATTATAAATTTGGGTTGTTGTTGTTATGTGCCGTTGAGTCGGACCCGACTCATAACGACCCCTCCTTGGGTTTCCTAGACAGTATTTCTACAGAAGTAGATTGCCCAACCTTCCTTCCGAGGAGTGGCTGGCGGGTTTGAACCGCCAGCCTCCTGGTTAGCAGTCAAGTGTCTTAGGCACTATGTTACCAGAGCTCCTATAAATTTGGGTAAGCGTATGTTATTGCCAAATTTATTGGCATTTACATTAGATAATAAATTGGTACAACAGAATTTGCAAACATAATGTAAAACCATTCAAATAATCTGGGCTTGCAGGTTTTACAAGGCACTTACTAATATGTAAATTACTCACACATGGTCCCAAAATGGAAAGGTGAAACATGTTACCTAGGGTTGGAGCTGAAGGTGAAAGGTCATAACCCAGGGCCCTCAACCCCAGGACCAGACTTGTGATTTCTTGGAAGTCCCTTGACTTTACTAAATTTCTGTGTTTATAAAATAAAGATATGATAACAACACTTTCCAATTATTACAGAAAATTTTATAGGGACCCAGCTAAATTATTGCTCCAAACATTTCCCATCACCATCCTCATTGACTCTCCTACTAGTCTTTGAGATCCTTGAAGGCAAATACCATGGCTACATACTCCCTGCACCTAGCACAGTGACTGATATATACAGTAGACACTCAATAAGGACTGTTAAATTAATGATTAAAATCCATTTGTTTTGTAACCCCAAAGAACAGAAATTGATTCTACCACTCACAATCTAGGTGTGAATTTAATTTTTTAAAATTAAAATTCATGTAACAAAAAAATCAACAATTTTGAAGTATATAGCTCAGTGGTACACTGATTTTATCATCATATTTTCTTCCTTCCTTCCTGATGTTCTAAGATTCCTTATCATTTCCTCTCTGTTTAGTCATTCTTTTAGCATAAATCTGCTGCCAACAAATTCTTAGTTTTCCTTAATCTGAGTAGGTGTTGATTTCCCCTTCGTTCCTAAAGGATATTTTCACTGGACATAGAATTCGAGGTTGAGTTCTTCTCTTTCAGCACTTGAAAAATGTTGTGCCACTTCCTTCTGGCCTCCATGGCCTCCATTTCTGATGGGAAATGCAATATCATCTGAATTATTTCTCCCCTACAGATAGTGCTGTTACTGGCTGTTCTCAAAACTTCTTCATCTGTAGTTTTCAAAAGTTTGGCTATGATGTGTCTTGGTGCAAATATCTTTGAGTTTATCCTGTTTGTGCTCACTTAGCTTCTCGAATCTGCTCACGTCTTTTGACAAATTTGAGAAATTTTCAGCTATTTGTACTTTTTCAGCCTGCTCTCTTTTTCCTTTCCTTTTGGGTACTCAGATGACATGACCATTCCTTTGTGAAAGTCCCACAAATCTCTGAGGCTCTGCTCATTGTTTTTCAGTCTATTTTCTCTCTACTGCTGGATAATTTCCATTGCTCTATCTTCAAGTTAATTGATTTTTTTCCTCTGTTCTCTACATTTTGCTGTTGAGTCCATTCATTAAATTTCTGTTTTGGTTATTGTATTTCTTAGTTCTAAAATTTTCTTTTGGCACCAGGCTACAGAAAAACACAAACACCTGAGATGATCAGACGGGGGTCAGTGAACAGAAGTATACTCTAGACCAAGGATAGATTCAGCTAAGGCTAATCTTGCACAAACACCAGTGATACAAAATACCTGCAGTACTTATAGAAACAATAGAAGACAGACACAGAGTAATCCCTCACAGACAACCAGACACTATGGGAGAGAGATCCAATAGATCTACTGTCTCAGGACCATAGTACTGGGGGACACCAGACTCAATTGGCACAACAAAATATATAAAAACCTTGCTCCACATCCTACATTGGTGAGTAGCGACTGGGGTCTTAAAAGCTTTCAAGTGGCCATCCAATATGCAGCTAATGGTCTCCTAGTGTCAGAAGTGAAGAAGAACGCAAAAAAACAAAACAAACAAACAAACAAAAAACAAGGGCATTTGGAAGCAATCAGCCATAGGACACATGATGGCCCTTGAGACCAGAAGAACTAGATGGTGCCTGGTGACCAATGCCAACCACTCAGGAAAGGATCAAATCTGGAGATCCTGGATAGAGTGGGAGGAAAAACGTGGAACAAAATCCAAAAACTCTATAATGACCAGGATTACTGGTCAGAGGAAGTCTGATGAGACCCCCAATACTGTGGACCTGGAATACATTCTGCACCTGGAATAAAACGCACCCCCAGGGGCTGGCTCTCAGCCCAATAGTTAACAAGACATACACGCAGACCATTTAACCCAGGATGATGCACCCACATACTCTATTGTAATACACTCCTTAGAGCAATAGACCATAGGACACCAGAGGACCAACATTCAACTTGAGGAAATGCAGGACAAACAGGAGTGCATAAATATGAGGGGCACAGGGGGAGGGTTACAGGGTAGGGAGGGGAAGAGACTGGGTTAGGGTTGGACATAGTAAATGGGGAATGAAACTAAATGTACACGTAACATTGAATGTAAAACAAGCTCTTAAAATAAAAATTAAAAAAAAATCATTTGGTTCCTCTTTACACCTTTCATTGAATCGCCGAGACTATTTTTTTTTTTTTTCATTTATTTCAAGAGTATTTGTAATGTTCACTGAAGCATTTTTATGATGGCTGCTCTAAAATCCTTGGAAGATAATTCTAACATTTGTGTCATCTCAATGTTTTCATCTGATAGCAGTCTTTCCTCATATAGTTTGAGATATTTGAGTGATTTTTTCAACTGAAATCCAGACATTTTTTGTGGTTTACTTAGAGTTTGCAGTATGGTTTTATACCTAATCTAAGTTCATATTCAAATTACATTTTATCTCTTCATGTGTTGTACAGGTACTTTGGAACAAACTACTCCCATTTCTTCCCTCTTGTCCCTTATAGATACTGCTGTCATTCATTTCACTTACTCACATGCTGTAATCACCCAATACATTGTATTTATTAAACAAAGTTATCATCTACATAAGTAAGAATAGGAAAAATAAAAGATTTTTATTTTATCATAATTAATTCCCTCATGATACTTTTAGGAGGCCTCACAGTGCAGTGGTTAAAGCATTCAGCTGCTAACAAAAGGGCCAATTGTTTGAAGCTACTAGCCACTCCACAGGAGAATGAGGTGGCAGTTGGCTTCTGTAAAGATTTATAGCCTCCTTGGATACCCTATGGGGTAGTTCTACTCTCTCCTATGGGGTTGCTTTGAGTCAGAATTGACTCCAAGGCCGTTGGTCCCTTTTTTTTTTTAAAGGTGTTTTTCTTTTCTTTATGTAGATCCAAGTTTCTGACTTACATAATTTTCTTTCTAGCTGAAGAACTTTTATCGTTTCTTATGGGGTAGGTCTTCTGGCAATACATTCCCTACTTTTGTTTGTTTGATAAAGTCTTTATTTCTCTTTTTTTCCTTTAAACACTTTTTATGTGATGAAAACACATACCACATTTCAATGACATGGATTACAGTCATTCTCCTTCACTTTTCATTACCGTAATAAATAAACAACATAGTATCTTATCAGTTTCTACATGTACATTTCAATTACACTGATTACATTCTTCAAGCTGTGCATTTTGCTCTCTTGTTCCAAGTTATATCACCACCATCATTAACATATCTACAACGTACTCTAAGGCAAAACTCCCTTTCCCCCTTCCTATTGCCCCTGGTAACTACTAATTATTTTTGGTTTATGTATATTTGCTTATTTCATATACATGATATCATATAGTATTTGTCCTTTTGTGTCTGAGTTATTTGGCTCAGCATAATGTCCTTGTTATGGGTTGAATTATGTCCCTTAAAATTGTTGTTGTTATGTGCCGTTGAGTCATCTCCGACTCATGGCAACTTTATGTACAACAGAATGGAACACTACCTGATCCTGTGCCAGCCTCATGATCCCTACTATATCTGAGCTCATCGCTGAAGCCACCATGTCAATCCATCTTGTTGAAGGCCTTCCCCTCTTTCTTTGACCCTCCACTTCTC